TTGTGAGGCTGCTGCGGGACCAGGCAGTGTTTCGTTTTGTTGTACATGGCGTCGCTATGAGCTGGAACCAACTCGATGGCACCTAACAAGACCCTGGGCCATGTCATCCCCCACTGTAGCCTCTGACTTCAGAAGAACTTCTTCTGGCTCACGCATGCAGGAGAATAAAGTCAGCTCTCCCCAGGAGGCAGGACTACCATTCCCTTTTATTTGTTCAAAATATATTTATACCAAGTGCTGGCAAGCATGTGGAATAACTGGAACTCTCATATATTGCTGGTGGGAATATTAAACGGTACAATCACTTTGGAAAACAGTTTGGAAGTTTCTTGTAAAATTAGAACATAGACTTACCATATGACGCAGCAATTCCACTCCTAAGTATTTATCCAAGAGAAAGAAAAACATAATGTCCCCAAAAAGGCTTGAACAAGAATGACCTTAGCAGCTTTATCCATATTAGCCGAAGTCTGGAATCAGCTATAATGTCTATATAACGATTCCATGTATCAAAATGCATTACACTGTGCACTTAAAGGCACCCTGGTGGCGCAGCGGTTAAATGTTCTGCTGCTAATCAAAAGGTCAGCAGTTTGAATCCATCAGCTGCTCCTTGGAAACCCTATGGGGCAGTTGTACTCTGTCCTGTAGGTGTCTATGAGTTGGAATCGATTTGACAGCAACGGGTTTGGTTTTTTGGTTTATTTACAAATATAGAATCACATTTATATACTTGGATTTTCAACTCTATTTTTCACAAAACAATACATTTTGCGTATCTTTCCATGCTTGCATCTTATTTTATTTTTGGTATGGTTCCATCAAGCCATAATTTATTTAACTGGTCCCTTTCTGATGAGCAATTTGTTGCTATTTTTTTATTACTGGAAACAGCCATAGACATCCTTATAATTACGCGGCATGAGTATTTCTATAGGATGAATTCCTAGAGGTTTCTTGGCCAAGTTGCTTAGTCAGAAGGCATGAACAGTTTTCAGGAAGGGGACATGTGTGTGGGTGACAGTGACATGTTCTCAGGGATCCAGGTTCTTATAAAGTTTTTCTCATTCCTAAACCAAAAACCCAAGCCAACTGCCGTCAAGTTGATTCCAATCATAGTAAGCTTATAAGACAGAGTAGAACTGCCCCCATAGGGTTTCAAAGGTAATGCACTGGTTGAGTGCTCGATTGCTGACCGAAACTTCAGAGGTTGAAACACACCAGCTGCTCTGCGGAAGAAAGATGTGGCAACCTGCTTCTGTAAAGATTTACAGCCTTGGAAACCCTTTGGAGCAGTTCTGCTCTGTCCTATAGGGTTGCTATGAGTCGGAATGGACTCAACAGCAACAGGGTTTAATCAGTACAGAAGGAACCCTGGTGGCGCAGTGGTTAAAGCACTCGGCTGCTGACTGAAAAGTTGGCGGTTGGTGGTTCTAACCCACCACTCACGCCACAGGAGAAAGATGAGGCAGTTTGCTTTTGTAAAGATTACAGTCTTGGAAACACTACGGGGCAGTTCTCCTCTGTCCTAAAGGGTCACTATGGTCGGAATCGACTCGACAGCAGTGGGTTTTTTTGGTTTTAATCTTTTGCAAAAGCCGACCGACACATCTTTTGGAGCGACTGGTAAATTCAAAATGCAGACCTTTTGGTTTGCAGTTGAGTGCTTAACCAGGATGCCTTTCTTTTTTTTTTCGTTAGACAAGACTTTTAATTATAAGACCTAAAAACCAACTGAGGCTGATGAAGCCAACACGGATTTCTGCTGAAAGGATCCTGTGTACTTCGGGAGATGGCTGCAGAGTTTTGTTATAGTTAAAAAAAAATGGTTATCTTTGCTATCTGAGTCATGAGAGTAAGAATTATGCTTTCTTTACTTTATACTACTTCAAAATACAACATGATGATTGGAGAGTTTCTGTTTCATTTTATTTGGGGTTGATTTATTTCAGACACTTGTTAACTGCCATCAAGTCAACTGACCCCACTACTCATGGCAACCACAGGAACAACTAAACTAAACGCTGCCAGGCCTACCAACCCCATGATCAGTTGGGGCCTGGACCATTGTGTTTTCATTTGCTGGTTTTTTGGAAGTAGGTGGCCAGGCCTTTCTTCTTGGTCCATCTTAGTCTGGAAGTTCTGTTGAAACCTGTTCAGCATCAGAGCTGGTGGCTGTGTATGAGGCACACTGGCCAGGAAGGCAAGAATTCAACCACTGAACCACCTCCTTTTTCAGGTACAGTTGACAAATAGGAAATGGTCTTTCTAATTGAAGTACATACCTGTGTTAGGTGCGCCCCAAAAAACCATTGGCGGTAATGATAATAACTAACCTTTGGACAGAGCTTCTCCCAGACAGTCTTCCTTCAGGGGAACAACATCTTCCACCTGGGAGGTAATTAGGGAGGGGATGGGTACTATCTTATTGTTTTTAAAAATTATATAATAATTCAAACATATACAGAAAACAGAACTTTTCCCTCAATTTTGAATTGTATTTCTTTTTCCTTTTCTAAGTACAAGAAAAATGTAACGTAGAAATTGAACATAAGCACATAATCATTGTATAGAGTTTTTCATATGTATCCCCTCCTGGAGGGGTAGCTAGGAAAGGGATAATCACTACTTTAAAAAAAAGATTATGAAATAATCCAAGTATATAGAAAAATAGAGAAAGCAACATGTTTTTCCCCTACTTTTAATGACACTTGTTCTTTCTTTTCTAAATACAAGAGAAATACAAACCAAAAACCTATTGCCGTTGAGTTGATCCTGCTCATAGCAACCCTATAGGACAGGGTAAATCTGCCCCATAGGGTTTCCAAGTCTGGAAATCTGTATGGAAGCAGACTGCCACATCTTTCTCCCGAAGAGTGGCTGTTGGGTTTGAACTGCCGATCTTTCAGTTAGCAGCTGAGCACTTAACCACTGTGTCACCAGGGCTCCTTATAAGAGAAATACAATGTAGAAATTCAATGCATAAATATAGAAAACACAGGAAAGCATATGAGGTAGAAAAATTCTTCATATTGCATTCCAGTCTTTTCTGTCCATTCTTTATTTCTTTTTATAAAGTGTTCACTTTTTTTTCTGTGAATCTTTTTAATGACTGTGTTTTGGTAAACTGGTAAACTTCTTTATTGAAATAGAAAAAATTTATTCTGCATATTTTTGTTTTTTCTTAGTGTGTGTATATATACATATATATTTCATATATATTTAATGCATTAATAGACTTAATACACATATATTTTCTGGTTTTCCTTTATGTTTAATAACTGTGCTTTTTGGGTAAACTTTTATTGAAATAGACAACGTAAAGTGCTTAAATCTTAAGTGTACAGTGTAATGACTATTTTACTAAATAAATGTTGTGACTTGCTGTTGAGTTTGTTCCAACTCATGGCATCCCCACGTACAACAGAATGAAACATGGCCTGCTCCTTTGTCATCCTCACAGTGGAGTCCATTGTTGTGGCCACTGTGCATTCTGAGTGCCTTCCAACTAGGGGGCTCATCTTCCAGCACTACACTGGGCAGTATTCTGTTATGACCCACAGGGTTTTCACTGGCTAATTTTCAGAAGTAGATCACCAGGCCTTTCTTCCTAGTCTGGTTTAGTGTAGAAGCTCTATGGAAATCCGTCCATCATGGGTGACCCTGCTAGTATTTGAAATACCGTTGATGTAGCTTCCAGCATCATAGCAACACATAAGCCACCACAGTACAGCAAACTAACAGAAAGGTTTACTAATAAATACATACATGTTAACCACTTTGCAGGTTGAGATATAGAAAATTTCCAGGACTCAGAAATCCTTCTCATATCCTCCTGCAGTGTATAACTTCCAAATGTAACCACTATTCTGATTCTCTCGTCTTTCGTCTGTTTTTGAACTTTATATGTTTGGAATCACACAGCATATACTTCATGTCGTTGTTGTTGTTAGATGCTGTCGAGTCAACTCCAGCTCATGGTGACCTTATATATAACAGAACAAAACATTGCCCAGTCCTGTGCCATCCTCAGAATCGTCACTATGTTTGAGCCCACTGTTGCAGCCACTGTGTCCAACCATCTCATTGAGGGTCTCTCTCTTTTTCACTGACCCTCTACTTTACCAAGCATGATGTCCTTCTCCAGGGACTTGTCCCTCCTGATAACATGTCCAAAGTAAGTGAGATGAAGTCCTGCCATCCTCACTTCTAAGGACCATTCTGGCTGTACTTCTTCCAAGACAGATTTGTTTGTTCTTCTGGCAGTCCATGGTATATTCAATGTTGTTTGCCAACACCACCCATATACTTCATATTTAAAGAAAAATATTCTATCCTGTTATAAATATTGCTTTGTAACCTGCTTTTCCTGCTGAGTACTAGCTCATGAACATTTCATTTATGATCTGCAATAAAATCATGATTTTAAATTGATGCACTGTTTGTAGCAAACCCTCAAATACACTTAAATAATTATTCTTTTTTCACTCATGAGGGAAGAGGAGCTCAGAGTCCATACAGGGAGCAAGTGGAGAAACTGGGACTCGAACCTGCGTGTAAGGCAGTGGCTATTTCATTGCAAAAAGCAAAGTGCTCAAATATGGTCAGAACCTTGCAGAAGACTTACACAAGGGCATTATAACAGCAGCAAGAATGACTAATAAGTATTAATGGCCCATGACAAGAGAACAAATGCCATTAATTATCTTAATATATTAGTATTATTAATGTTTGCACAATATTATTCATGCAAATATTATTAGCCTGTGTAGGAGGCAGTTGCTGGTCCAAGCATTGGGCTCACAGCTCCGGTCTGTGCCTCTCATTCCAGATGTGCAGAGGTTGGGGACTTTCAGTGACACGCCCCCACGGAGCTCCGAGGAGCCAATCGGCGCGCGGAAGGCGGGGTCCTGGGAGCGACAATGGTGTTATCCAATGAGCCGACAGCCGGAGCTGCTGCTGGGCCAATGGACGCGCGGCTGTGCGGTGGTCGGAAGTGGTGAGGCATCTTCAGGGCCGTGGTTGAGTGCGGGGGCTGTTTGAGAGGATCCTAACTGGGGCTAGCCGGCTGGCGATACGTCTCTTCTTGCGTCTCAGGTGAGGTGTGGCGGCGGCCCAGCATCGGAATCTCCCTCCAGATCGGGAGGAGGCTGTCTTCAGGAGCGAGGATGTGATGGGAGTGGGGGGCTTAGGCCGCGGGGGTCGCGGCCTTAAGAAGAACGCTGCCCGCGTCGCGGCGTCTCCTCAGCCAGTTGGGGAGGCCGCGCTCCTCCTCAGAGAACCGGAGCCTCGATCACCCCGGCGGCGCCGCCCCCTTCCTGGCCTTAGCCACCGCGCCCCGGGCGGAGCTGGGCCCGGGCCCGGCCTGGGGAGTTGAAGGACCGGGAAGGCAGACCCTCGAGCTGCGGGCGTGGGGGGTGAGTGGCGGGTGGCGTAGCGCGGCCCCTGGGCCTGCTGCCCCGAGTTCGAGTCCCGGCCCTGACCTGCGTGTAACTGCCTCTCTGATCTCCGCTTTCCTAGTCTGTAAAATGGGGATAATGCCATACACCTTAAGAGGTTCGTGGTCAGGAAGAAAAGATCATCCGTGGGAAGCGTTTAGGACTTACTAAACGCTCGGTATATGTTAACTACTACTGTTGGAGACCTGTGCCCTCTCCACGCCCCACCCTCGCCCCTTTATGGGAAAGAGCACCCCCGAGGTCGCTGAGGGAGGGGGCGGGTGGGCACCGCCTCCGGGGTCTGGACTCCGCGACCGCAGCTCTGTCCCCCGGGCAGGGAAACAGTTCCCGAAAGCTGGAGACATCTGGTCGACCCATAAAGTTCCCGAAACCTCGAGACATCTGGTCGATCCCTGACAGGGGCTTCTTCCATGGACGCCTCACAAGGACCCTTTGAAGTACTATCAGCTGTTAGCGGGAGGAATCTGAGGCCCTGGGAGGGTAAATTACACATTCACTAAGTGGCAGAACCAGAATTGACGCCCAGAGGGGCTGACTCCAAGCCCTGCAGCCACTCAAACCTACCTGAAGCTAGAAAATTGGGCCTTCCCATTAGCCGAGACTCTGGTCTTGGTTTAGAGGTGACCATTTAGTGGGCTGGAACTGAACACACCTGGGAATCTAGGCACCCCTCCTTCAGAGAAGTGATTTGTTTTCATAGTTGTTTTCTATCCCTTGTCTCCTGAGCTGACATTTCATTATCAGAGTGGATATCCTGAATCATGTCACTTACTGGTTAAAGAACCTTCATTGGTTTATGAGTTTGGAATCCAGTAGAATTTCTGTCCTATATGATCAGGCCTTTCTTGCTCCATTCTCCTTGTTATGCTTTTCCAGATCTGCCTTTATGTTCTCTTTCGTTGTCTTTTTGCCCTTCCCGCTTCCTGAATGGGTTTTTCCCCTCACTCCCATCCTCCGCTCTTCAAGGCTGGCTCTTCTCCGCTTTCAGGTCTTAGTTTCAATGTCATCTCCCCAGAAAGGTCTTCCCTGACCACTTGTATCTAAAGGAGATTTTTCTCCAATCAATCCCCATTTGTCTGTGCTTTCCCATTAAAATGCTCACCTTAAGTTATATTTCTTTGTTTCCTAATTGTTTTTCTTGACCACTAGAGTTCTCTGTTAGGTCAAAGATTACTTTTCTTTAATTTGTAAAGTGTCCTTAGTGCCAGGGCACTAAATGTCTGGCACATGGTTTGAACACTGATAGTTGGTTTGGTAATACTGACACCATTCAAGAGTCCAATTAGGGAGGCAGTATTCAAGACTATTTTTATGTCATGTGAAGGAGTTAAATATTGGATGTAAAGTTGCCCTGCTTTGCCTTCTGCGCTGATGTCTTGTTTCAAAAGAAGACACGACTACACTGGAGAAACCTGGCAGCTAAGTGATTGACGTTTACATCACCAGTACTATCCAGTCAGTTGACGTCATGTATCTTCTGATATGATGCACCAAAATGGACACAATATCACTTCTATGGTATTCTTGCCAAAAATGTATAACCTGAATTTAATCATGAGGAAACATCAGGCAGAACCATATTGAGGGACTTTCTACAAAATAACTAGCTTATATGCTTAAAAAAGTCACAAAAGACAAAGAAAGAAAAACCAAAAACCAAACCAGGCGCTGCTGATTTCGACTCATGGCGACGCCGTTTGTTTTAGAGTAGAACTGCACTCCATAGGGTTTTCAGTGGCTATGGTGGCACAACAGTTAAGCACTTGGCTGCTAACCCAAAGTTTGGCTGTTTGAACCCACTAGCCACTCAGCAGGCAAAGACCTGGCAATCTGCTTCCGTAAAGATTATAGCCAAGGAAATCCTATGGGGCAGTTCTCCTCTCATATAGGGTTGCTGTGAGTCTGAATCAACTCGATGGCGTACAACAACAACATCATCTTTTGGAAATAGACTGCCAGGCATTTCTTCCTAGGTGCCTCTGGGTAGATTTGAGCCATCAACTTTTCAGTTAGTAGCCAAGTGCTTCACAGTTTGTATCACCCAGGGCCCACAGAAAGATTGGAGAACTAACCCAGATTAAACAAGATTAAGGAGAAGTGACAAATGCAGCGTGTGATCCTGGATTGTATCCTGGGCCAGAAAAAAGGGTATTAGTGGGGCAGTTGGTGAAATCTGAATAAGGACTATGGATTAGTTTCTAGTATTATAGAAATGTTAATTTCCTGCCTTTGATAATTTTGCTGTCATTATTTATGATAACATTTAGGGAAGCTGGGTGAAGGGTATATAGGAGTTCTTTGTACTGTTTTTACAGCTGTTTTTGTAAGTCAAATTATTTTAAAATGGAAATTAAAAAATAATAATAGGAAAAAACCCAAATGTGTTAGGTATTAACTAATGCACTGGTTTTGGTGACATATTCTATGTACCAGTTTTTTGTTTTTGCTTTTGCATGTCATCCTTAAAGCAGAAATGAAACTGAAAGTTCACACTTCTTCCTTTGTGGTTTTTAGGAAAAGCTAAAGATGGCCGAATTTCTAGATGACCAGGACACTCGACTGTGTGACAACTGGTAAGAAATTAAATCTGAGAAATGCTGTTGGAATAAGTTGGCTTATTTGCTGACTGGTGACAATTGTGATTATATAATATATTGTGCAAATATATGGGACTAGAGCTTTTGAACAATTTGGGGTAAGCTGCCTGTTTTGGTAATTTCGACAAGATGGTTGGTGTAAGGTAGCATAGAGTAGGGACTAGAGTGATGAAATGAGCCTGGAGTCAGGATCTAGTTCATGCCCTTACTTAGCTGGTCACTGTTGGCACAGTCACTTGACTGCCCTGGAGCCTCACCTTTCTGATATATGAAGAAGGGAGCTTGCCACCTTTTTATGTATCTGAAAAATAACTGTACATTTTGTGGGGGGAGGGGAGCGACAACTTTACAATATTGAAGATTTCTCTGTGGAACAAAATATATCTCTTCATTTATTTGTATTCAGCTTCTCAGATCATACATTTTAAAAAAAACCACTAAAGAATGATAAAATGTATTGCAATGTTGGTCAAGATCAGTGTTTTTCAAAGTACAGGTAATCCCTGACTTGTGACATATTCAAATTATGACAGATGCATTTATGACCATCCTTGTCGTTAGTCGTATGTACTGCGTACAGTATTGTAGTGCATAATGTGCTGATGTTATCATTCTCAGATGGTCAGTTTTATGATTTTCTGTTCAAAACACTGCCATATTTATAAAGATACTGATAGTAAAAGGCAATAATACAATAATAATGAAAACTTTAAAAAAAACGAGGTATTCGACATAACGTCAGAATGTCTTAACAACGGAGTTCTTGGAATAGAACCCCGTCCTAAGTCGGGGACTACTAGTATGTTTCCGAATTTCCGGAGTGGCCACACTGGCTGTCTTGGGGTTGATGGGGAGCAAAGTTTGGTGAGCTTGGCGCTAGATCTAGGGAAAGAGCAGTTGGACCAGAGCAGCTCAGTTTTAACCCTTTTTATAAAGGATTTTGTTGAAGGAACATTCCTCTGCTTTTTAAAAAGACAAAAAAAGTTCTAATTGAACTCTTAAAGTAGTCCAGCTTTCTTACTTCAAGATTCCCAAACTGTTAGTGAAGCCTGGGTACATCCTTGAATGTAAAACTTTTTGTTTCACTTTTTAACCCATGTGAGTGACAAGAAAGAACTACTCTTTCCTGCTGAAGTGAAACCTAGCAATAGGTTTAATTATCAGCTGGTGCTTGGTAGGTGTTTCTCAAGAATTTATCTTGGTATTTTGGTGATAAGCAAGTGCTCTTACTGAAAGCTTTAAAAATTAAAAAACAGGCAAAGGAGAGCTGTTTGTGCTATATTTAGCTTACCAAATTGTGGTAGAAAAAAATGGGACATGGTATAAGGAAAATAGTTCAACTCAGATTGCTGAAAGATTAGAGCCAGGGAGCAATTTTTCTTTTGCCTCCTTTTTTCTTTTTTTCCCAATTTAACTTTCAGCGGAATTAGAATATAATTAGAGCAACTGCATGGAGTTAAGATTTCATTTCCTTGAGGGTGCCTTGCTTATAAGATATTTCACCCTAATATTCCACTTTCTGCCATTTCATAAACTTTTTTGGCTTTGTTTACAAAGTAATCAGTGAAACATAATCACAAGTAATATCATTGTGATTTTATAAGAAAACAGATGTTGGCTTTAGCATTAGTTAAGATACTGTCATTTTTTATTAGTCCAATTTGATGGAATCTCAAGCCTAAGACAGTACATAAGCAACTATGCTGAGGAAGTTAAAAAAAAGGATGAGTTAATGAAAAGGTTAATTAAAGACAAAGCAATTTATGTACAGAAAAAAGCAGATTAGCCTGCAAGGCTGACTAAGCCAATAGCCATCCTATCTAAGTAACTGTGTTTTAAATCCAGGTTTAAAAATTTTTGTCTTTAGAGCCTTATCCCTGTTGTTGTTCCCTAAGAAAAAGTGAAGGTGATTGAAAATCCTTGGTACACGTCATCTCTGTTTTCTTACGGTGTTGTGTGAGATGGGGGTGAGGTGGGGACCGCTGCTACTATGAAATGGAAATGGAAGCTTCAGTGTTAGAAGGCTTCACCTTTTTTTTTTTTCATGAATGAAGAATTGATTTTTGGCTGATTGTGTTTAGTATTTTGAAGGCAGCTGGGAATTTTTCTGAAAGTCTTGGCTTACCTTTCAATCATTTGTGTGTAAAATGAGATTTCATTTTTAACTTGCTCTCCCTTCCTTTTTATCTACATATGGAATTGTGTACTTATTTATCTCACTATTAAAACATCTTCATTTTATCTGTAGGTAAGAAGCAAATATTAGTATTTTGCCTGGGGGGAATGTTTGGTGGGAATATTTTGGCAGTTATACAGGTAGTCCCTGACTTACAGCAGGGTTCCGTTCTGACGACTGCATCGCAAGTTGGTCCTGACATGAGCCAAATGCTCTTTTTTTTTTAAGTTTTCATTGTTATTGCCTTTTACTATCAGTATCTTTATAAATATGGCAGTATTTTGAACAGTAAATCGTAAAATTGAACATCTGCGAGTGAACATCTGCGAATGATAACATCACCAAATTATGTGCTGTAACATAATACTAACGATAAGATGTACAAAAAAACAAAACGGAAGGTCGTTAAGTGTGGTTCGTCATAACTCAAATATGTTGTCAGTTGGGGACGACCTGTATTTAAAAGGAAAAAAAAAATCTAGGAGGCAGCTGTTTCATGTAATTGTTGCAAATGTTTTTTATCTTTTTCTTTCAAGGTGAAAATATGGAACGTGAATGTTTGGTGGTCTTACCTGACAGCTGCTTTTGATTCTTGCTTCTTCATTGTATTGTGATGATACGGTCCTTAATATTTTGGTGACCTTGTGTATACAGAGTGCTTTATGTCAACAGGTTATCCTGGACAGCCCTGTGAAATAAAAACTATAGACATTTTTTTGCTATTTAAAGAAAACTATTGTCAAAATAATGAAAAAGAGACCCAGAATCTCTGTGCACCTTAATCAGTAATTACTGATTATAATTGTTGTCTTTTAACCATTTTATGACATTGTAATGATAATCTTTATGCTTAAGCCCAAGAGCAGGATTACTGGGTTAAACAGTATATAATTTTTTGGTTCTAAAAACACAGTTCAGGCTAGTTTTAATCAGTTTATACTACTTAAACTATTGATACTTCGTGTATTAGCTAGTTTCACTATATCTTCAACAGTGGAATTTACTAATTTTAATTTTCACTAATTTAATAGGCGTAAGTTGGTAACTGATTTCCACTTATTTTAACATTTTACAGTTTTTAAAAATTTTATCTGAATTAAAAACCAGTGGTTTCCTTAGGAGGCTAGGAATTTGGGGGAAATGTGGAAAGTTAACTCTGTCAAGTCATTGGTAGTTTTCTCTTTTTCCATTTCAGTTTCTTTCCCATCTCTTACAGTTCATTATTCTTTTGTCACCTTCCAGTTTTGCTGCGAGAACCGCTTTGGGGTCCTGAGCCTGTTAGTTGCACCATTGGATGACAATGAATTTGCATTTTTTGGTGTCTTGCTTGGTCTTTCAGACTGGGAGTATGACTGGCTGGAGGCACATCAGTCATCCTACTTTGAAATGTTCCTTAGACTATGTATGAAGATTAAAACTGTAAATGAGAAATAAGCCAATAACAACTTAGTGTGAGAGAGGGTCCTGCAGTATTCAGCTTCAGAGGCAAAATAGGATATTAAAGATTTGTTGTCTGACGATCCTGTTCAGTATCTTATTTTTCTGGAATTTTATTTTAGGTGACATGCTTTTAGGCACAATCTTTTAATGCAGTCTATAGCTGGACTGTGAGGTTGGGGTTTTCTGGTGGTCATAGCCAAGTGAGTAAAAGGCAGGCCTTGGAATGCGACGTGCCTCTAGTTGGAGTATATTGCCTTTTCAAGTTTAGGTGGTCTTACTCTTTCACTTAAGATTATCACTTTCATTTTGTCCCCTTCTTTTCTGCAAGTTGGATATGATCTTTGATTGGATCCCTTAAACTAAAGGAGAATGGCAGAAAGTGTGAGGAGACAGGACTGGGGGAAGGGGTTCAGGACTCTGTTTTATACAGTTCTGTGGACCAGTATCCAGCCTGCTTTGAAAAGCATATGGGACATAAAGGAGGGAATTTCCCTTCCCCTTTGATTATCCCAAAAGCTGGTGGCTGCTCCTATTAGTTCTTTCTGGTTTGATTTTTTTATAGAATAAAATCCAATGAGATTATGCTGTTTAAAAGTGAGAGTGAAAATAAATGGTAGTCTGTGGTTTTTTTGTTTTTTTTTTTAATATCACGGAGTGCATCATTCTGCTTTGGAGCATGGATAGTTCTGGAAAAGCCTCGCTCAGCTCTCCTCTGCAGCTGACTTGATGTTGTTGTTGTGGTCAGCTCTGACTTCTAGAAGGTGAGGCTGGGCCTGTAGAGGTCATGCATGGCACTAGTAGCTCACACTGTCACACACAAGTCTCAAAGCCTTCAGGATTTAATTGCTTTTTTTGAGAAGCAGAGGTGATAACTATCTTAAGAGCCTCTAGACTAGATACTCATTGAAGAGAAATAATGGAGATCAAAGATTGGAAAGACAGATTTTCATGTGATACCATTGTGCAAGAAAAGTCGTAGATCAGACAGTAATGCTTGCCTTTTTGTCAATTTCTGTAGCAAGAGAGAAATTCCTGTGTTTAACTTTACCATCCATGAGATCCACTGTCAAAGGAACATTGGTATGTGTCCTGTCTGCAAGGAACCATTTCCCAAATCTGACATGGAGACTCACATGGCTACAGAACACTGTCAGGTGAACCACCGAGTACCCAAATGTTCATCAGTGTGTTCTACTTGCTATTGTGTACTAGCAAGTGAGCATGTTGTCACAAAGCCAACGTACTGATTCTCACTTCTTACCCTAGGTGACCTGCAAATGTAACAAGAAGTTGGAGAAGAGGCAGTTAAAGACGCATGAGGTTAGTCTCCTGGCGCTAGGAAGGAGTGACTTGGCATGGGGCCAGTCCTACAGAGAGGACAGAGCCACCTGCAGAGCAGAAAGTCGGTCTGGTGGAGTCCTTGTTCACTCCCAGCATACATTCACACTGCCTCTCACATTCACACTATTTGACTGCGGCCAGATTTGGCTCTGTGACTCTTGTGCCACATGCTCAGGTTTCAGTCATTCCCTTTGGAACTGAGAGTCTATCTCAGTTCTGCGGGGGTTTGGCTCTTGGTGCCACACTGAGTGCCAAGCCAGGCCTGGGTGACAGTGTGGGGCAGCACCTTTGGCACACAGGTAGGCTTACACTTTGTAATTTCATTTTGACTTCATTATTGTACTTTACACCCAAAGAAATTCCGCAGAGATCGTTTGGTGATGGAGAACATGGTATCATTTAGTCCCTAGTTGAGATAAAACTGGCCATAGTTGAATGAGCCTATTAAATATTATTTTAAAAATCCCCGTGACGATTTAGTTGGTGGTTATGGAGGAATTTGTATATGTATGTAAAAATTCATCAAGCTTTGCACTTAAGATTTGTGCTTTTTACTCTGTGTACCTTAAAAAAGCCTAACTTTATTACTTTATAATTATCTTTAATTATAAAAAATAGTTCATGGTCAATGTAGAAAATTAGGAAAATAGAGGAAAGTATAAAAAGAAAACAAGAACCACTCATAACCTCACAGCTCAGGGAAGAACTGCTCATAAATACCTTGGCACTCTGATTTCCGTTCTTTTTTCTGTGCATTTGACCTGTGTTTTACTAGGCATCACCAGTCTGGGAGGGTGGGGGTAATGACTGAGGTCACATTAACAAAAATAATCAGTATTTCTTAGACTCTAGTGTATCTCCCTGCTATGTCAAATACCCCCAACAAACTGCCTGCTCTCCTAGCTTCTCTCCCCGCTATTTCCGGGAGTCCCATGGCGATACACCAATCACCATAAAGGTACAAGTACAGAGTGTTCCTTAACATTCTTGCGAGTCAAGACTGGGATAATTTTAGACCAGAGATTAACTATTTAGGGTTTTAAAAAATTCTTTTTTTTAAAAAAATAGTTCATTTGCTGTTCCGGGGAGCTGCTAGCACTTTTTAGGGTTGTTACTTTAGGGTAGTTACTATATTCTATGATGTGTGGTAATGATTATTTGATCTTTTGCTGCCGAGTGTCTTAAAACAGTGGCATTTTTTTCTGTCAAAGTTTTTTTCTTTCTGAGTTGGTATTCCATCTACATGTTATACAGTTTTAAAGCCACAAAAGGATATATGTAAAACTCCTCCAGCTACCCAGGCCCTCTTCATTGGTTGCTTGTGTTTCCTACAAGAGATATTCCATGCAGATACAAACTGCTAAAGAAGTTTGGAGTAGCATTTGGAATATAACTTGGATTTAATTAGTATGAAAGGACATTTTTACTCTTTGTCACAGTGGTTGTAAAGTAGCTAAACTTTTGAAATGATGTTACATGAGAGTTCTAAGCTTAAGCTCCCAAGTTTTGGAATGTGCATATCATGGTAACATATTCCTTTATATCTTTTTAATGTTTTTAGTGTTTTAGTGACAGTTTCCAAGTAAGCATAAAAGTTCTGTCCTTTATCTGCTGAGTACGTTTATATTCTCGGGATTCCTGGCTTATTTGGTCAGTTGACAGCCAGTGCTATACACACACGTGCAGATTAGAAAATCAGTGTCCTTTCTGATTTTCAGTCTCTTCCTGCTTACGGGTACTTAAGACTGATTTGGAGTACTGAGGGAAAATTGGGTTCGTGAAGCTTTGACAAACATATCTGAATTGCTAGTGTTTTTGAGACTTGCTCCTGGGCTTCTCTGCTTGATTTTGGGTTACTGTTTAATGTGTGTACAAAATGGTGATAGTTGGGGTGACTGAGGACTTTGTAGTTTCCTTTTAAGAGTTTCTTTCCCTTTGTAGAACCTTGTGGCAGGGACAAAAGGGGAAGCCATGGCTTTTTTTTTTTTTGGAACATTTTATTATGGTTTGGGTGAAACTTTACAGAGCAGATTAGTTTCCCATTCAACAGTTAGTACACATTTTGTTTCGTGATATTACTTGTAATCTCCTCAGTGGGACAGCACTCTACCCGCTTCCTTCCTGGCTTCCCCGTTTCCATTTGCCCATCTTTTCTGCCCTTTCCTGCCTTCTAAACTTTGTTTTTGGGCAAATGCTGCCCTTTTGGTCTCATATGGCTGATTGTTCTCAGGAGCACGTTCCTCACGGGTGTTATTGTTCAGTTTATAGGCCTGTCTATTGTTTGATCTCTGGGAGTGGGTTATGACTCTTAAATACATAGAAAAACATGGCAGGTGAAGCTAGGGTTGGGAGAAAATATTGAAGTAGATGCTTGTTGCCTTCTTGCTCTTTACTAAAACACGACCTCCCCCAGTAATGCATATTAACTGGCCCATTCCTCTGTGTTATAGGAGACTGAGTGCCCTCTGCGGCCTGCCCTCTGTCAGCACTGTGATTTGGAACTTTCCGTTATCAAACTAAAGGACCATGAAGATTACTGTGGGGCCAGGACGGAGCAGTGTGGCAATTGTGGGCGCAATGTCCTGGTGAAGGATCTGAAGACACACCCTGAAGTTTGTGGGAGAGAGGGGGAGGAGAAGAGAGATGCAGTTGTCCTGCCACCTAATGCAGATGATGAGCCTTGGAGTCAGGATGGAATGTGGATCGCATCCCATCTCCTCAGACAGATTGAGGCTCTGGACCCACCCATGAGGCTGCCCCGGGGGCACCTGAGATCCTTTGAATCGGACCTTATCCACAGTAGGACTACCAACCAAAGGAACATGACAACCCGGTTTCCAATTCAGAATAATCTGCGTGAGTTGTGACTGGGATCAGGAAACTGGAATGGTATCAGAATCCCAGAGAAGACAGGGTACAAAGAGGCTGAAGAACAGGAGTTTGGGGCCAAATTTTGATTACGAAACCAGCCTGTAGCTGGGTACCATTGGGAAAGATAGCGAACTTTCCTATAAAATGGGGATAACAGAACCTCTTGCTCTTGGGTCACTGTTAGGGTTAATGATGATGATGACGACAGTGCTATGAATAGCTAACCCTGAGTATATCCTGCGTGCCACAGGTATATGCAGAGTGCTTTACATGTATTGATTTAATTCTCACAAGTCTTATGAGGGGTAGGTATTCTCATTTTACAGATCAGGAAACTGAGCTACTAAAAAATTAACTTGCTTAAGGTCATAGAGCTAACAACTGGTAGAGCTAGGATTCGAATTCAGGCAGTCTGACCCCACGGTGTAAACCATTCTGTTACAGTACAGAAAATATATGTATTCAGCACAGTGCCTGTCACACAGTTACATCTTAATAACATTGCTTATTAATAATACAATTAGAATGATAATGAAGCTTCTTCTCATGGCAGACTTGATGTTTGGAATTCTGTAAAAACTGGAGGTCTACAGGTGCTGGCAGAGCTCGGCCTCTTGTTCCTGCCCAGATGCCTATAATTCTTGAATGTTTGCTAGGCATGGGCTTAAGCTGTAGGCTGGCAACATGTCACATGTATTCTGAGTGTTGATTTTTTTTGTTTTTCAGTTGAAGAACAAGAAAGGCAGGAGAGGAATAGAAGCCGCCAGCGCCCCAAAGAAGGTGGTGAAGAGAGTGCAAACTTAGACTTCATGTTGGCCCTAAGTCTTCAAAATGAGGGTCAGGACCCCCACGTGGCAGAACAGGACCTCTGGAGGGCCATATATGAGGCAGACCGGTCCCGTGGAGGGCCCAGTGCTCTGAGTGACATAAAGGGTAGGTGTCTTTATTCTACACTAGCCTCATTTCTCTTCTTCACTCACATTTTCCATTTCTTTGTCACTCTTTGCTACATTCTGGGTAATTTCTTCTAGTTCACTGATTAGCTCCTTAACTATTTCTAATCCGTTATTTTAATATGTCCATTGAGGTTGTTAGTTCAGTGATTGTTTTTTCATTCCTAATTCTATTTGATTCTTTTTTCAGTCTGCCTGATTTTTTTTCCAAGAAACTTTTGTTCTTTTGTCGTATCTCAATTCCCTCTTTAACATGTCTTTAAACATGTTAAATATACATACTTTTGTGTCTGAAAATACCAATATCTAAAGTCGTTTTTTTTGCTGTCTGCTGACTCTTACTCATGGTGACTTGCTGTGTGTGTGTGTGTGTGTGTGTGTGTGTGTGTGTGTGTTTTCTGACGTGATCCTCTAAGAGGATTTAGGTATGCTTCTGGCAGGCACCTGGAAACATGACCAGCTAGGGTAAATTTAAGTTTTTGCCTTGGGCTTTTTAAAATCATAAATGTGAATTTATATAAAAATGTAGATATAAAAAAAAATTTAAAAACATAAATGTGGCTTCTGGCCTCAAACCCATGTAACAATCAAGCTGTGGTTACTGAGCCTTAGTAGAAACTCTTCTTCTACCTAGAGCCAAGACTAGATAGACAGGTTCCCTTACCTCCTCCCACTATTCACCCTCCCTCCTTTATTCAGCAGTCCCACTATTCTGGGAACCCTGAGTTTAAAAGGTCTCTTTGTTTACTCACTTAACTTATTTTAGTCTGCAGTTTTGGGTGTTTTGTACTGGGAGGATTTCTCAGAAGATTTGTCTGCCAGTAATGGACAAGCCTCAATTTTTTCATCTGTAAAATGAGGATAATGTAGGATCTTTTTAAGTTTTTTCTGAGAATTGAAAAAATGCATGGAAAGCCCTTAGATCCTTGTCTCGGGTTATTTCACATAGAAATCTCGTCCTTAATTAGAGTAGCCGGTAAACTCCTACTTCACTACCACTCAGGAATTTGGTGACAGACAGTGGAAGCTTGGGCCTAGAATTTGTCTCTTAGATGGTTTATCTTTGAGGATTTACAGCCCCACAAATTGCTACATCTAAGGAATATGAGAGGAAGTCAAAGTTTATATAAAGTCCCATGAGGACGATAAAAGGTTGAAATCAAATCTGCTTTTATTCTTTTTGGGTCTGACTGTGTGGCCTGATACCTAGGTGCAGCTGGCGAGACCATGTTGCCCTGTGAATTTTGTGAGGAGCTCTACCCGGAAGAACTGCTGATTGACCACCAGGTGTGTTGGGAGTTCCTCAGGTGCTCTCAGGAGAGTGTGTGCAGGCCGTAGTTGGGCTTATAGGCCGCATGAGGTCTTGAGCAAACTATGTTAATACGGCGCCTGTGATAGGAGTAGCAGCTGTGCTTTTCCCACGGTGTGACTGGCCTTGGGCATGAGCTCAGCCTTGTTTCCTCATGGAGTTAGTAGTGCGCCCTCCATGCTCGTGTCCGTCTCCACTGCCCATCTGGGATCTGGTCTCAGCACGAGCTGTGTTTTGACTTCCTGGAGCCGTACTAAAGTATTTGAAGTTCCCTGTGAGGGTCAGGAATCTTTTATGCAGGTACTTTCTCTGCTTGGAATGTGTGCAGCCTTCTATTCTGCCTTTTCGACATATCCAGCAACACAGATCTCTTACCTGTAGACTCGGTTGAGATACAATTTTCAGGAGACCTTCCTGAGGGACACTTTGATGGCCAAGTCAGGGGTCCCACCTGTGTGGTCCCCAAAAGTCCTGTGTTTCCCTAACCCTTTTTAGTCACTCTCCCCAATATAAAGCATTATTAAAATTATGTGATTTTTTTCTAGAAAATGTTTTAGGAATATAGGTTTTTCTTTAACCTGTGCTTTTTTTTTTTTTAACCTGTGCTTTTTGCATGACAGACTAGCTGTAACCCTTCATGTGCCTTACCTCCGCTCAGTATGGGCAGCTCTCCCCCCAAAGTGGTGGACGACCCCGATGACATCTTCCAGAAGTTTCTGCAGCAGACTAACCAGTTAGAGTCTTTGATGGGCCTGCCCAGTTCACCCCCCGTGGAAGACAGCATCATTATCCCATGTGAATTCTGCGGGGTGCAGCTGGAAGAGGAGGTGCTGTTCCATCACCAGGTGAGATTCCTGGAGGCTGTCCACTTGACCCCATGCTGACCCCCTGTGAACCTGAGGCTTTCAGAGCCCCGAATGCCGTTTAGCCTTTAAGTCGCATTCCTGCCTGACCAGGACCGCACACACTTGCTTCTGGCCGTGCCCTGTTGTCTGAGCTGACGGAGGTCTAGGGTGCCTCAGGCAGGCCTTCAGGCCTTCTCTACCCTCTGGCAGCTGAAACTGTCCTGTCACTAGGCTGAGGACCAAAGAGCCAGGACTACAGTTAAGCAGGCGTTGGGGGCTTGCAGAGGGCTTAGAGGCGTTTCCCTGACATCCCTGGTGTGTTCTGCTTTCGGTCAGGCGGGTTCTTCCTGTGGTCACGGTGATTAAGACTTGCATTACAGGAGGCCTGGGGCGGGGTCTAGTCTTGGACCGGTCCTATCCCCTCAGTGGGGACATCTGTAAATGAGGGAGTTGGACTAGACAATCTGAGGTCTTTCCCATTTTTACAGTCTAGGATTCCAGCCCATTAGTGGCATGTACATTTTCTGACCAGTCTTGTTCGTGATGGGGAGCTAACGCCACAGGCCTGTTCAGGGTCATTTCCGTAGGTGGTGCCATGTGGTTGTTGGTAGAGCACTACACATTTCATTTCTGTGAGCCACTGCTTGTCTCCTCGGGGACACTATGAAATAAGCAACCATACAAATACTCTGTGGTCAAAGTAAAGAAATGCTTTTCTGGGCTCCCAAGACCAACCCTTCCTTGATCCCTGCATAGCTCCGAAAGTGCCGCTGTCACAACCGTAGGTGTGAGAGGGAGTGACTGCTCCATTCCTCTGCGTCCCAGGGCCTTCCTCTCAGAGGCCATCACAGCTACCCCCCGACAAGGAACGTGCTGTTCCTTCCTCTCCTCCCGCTGCTTCCTCTTCCACGAGTGGCTCAGTCCAGAGGGACTCATTCTGGGTTTTCTTGTCAGGACCAGTGTGACCAACGCCCAGCCACCGCAAACCACCATGTGACGGAGGGGTTTCCCAGACAGGATTCCCGGCCTCGAGAGACCTCACCAGAGCTGCCCAGGAGGCGTGTCAGACACCAGGGTATCAGCCGGGGCTGTGCTGTGGCCGAGGGCTCACTGCTGGCTCGGGCCTGCTTACCAGTTCTCATCTGCTCCTGCATGGGGGTTACCTGAATCCCAAATTCTCAAGCCCACTAGGGCCTCATGGGGGATTCTTCTGTGGCTAGTTGTGGTCCATGTTAGGCCAAGCTGGCTTCATAGCTGAGTGGGTTTATAGGGTGATGGCTTTGGGGTCTCATGGCACAAGCTCAGTAGTCTGTGCTTCTTCAGCTCTGGGTCTGTCTCTGCACTTAGTGGCTGATTTGGTAATAATCTGCAGGCCTTAGTGTGGCTGTCCCTGGCCCTGCTCCTAGCTGATACAGTGAAACCTGTGAGAGCCAGAACTCGACGGGACTGCTGAGTTTTTCCAGGTCTCTCAAGTTTTCAACCTTTGACAGGGTGCAGTCTGACCTCTTTCTCTCTCTCCTTTTACTGGAAAATATTTGAGTTTTCCTTCTCTGACAGGTTTCCGCCTTACACTGGTTCAGGCTTTCACCGGTTTTACTGTATGTGCTTAGGATACTCAAACGTATTTGTATTATAATTTAAGGGCCTTATGACTAAGCAAGTGAACTTTTTAAATCCTAATCACTACAGAGCCCATTAGAAGTGATTTTTCAAAGCTTGCTTGCACACTGTTGTTCACCAGCTTGAGTTTTGAATAGTTAGGAGGCTGTATTTGAGGCCTCAGGTAATAAGTGTGCATGGTGGACAGACATCCCCAGCTTTGTTCTGGAGAGGTGGATTCTTTCTGTCCAGCATCCTGCTCCTGCCCTGAATCCAGCAGTGAAAGCATGTGCAGGCTTTTCGCCTGAAGCTCTGATCCTCTTCTCAGGAGACCTGTCTTCCGGCTACATAGATGACATCAAGCAGGAAACGGCTAAAGGGCCCACCTACCCTCTGTCCCCCAGCAGACCCATTAACAATATGACAGCTACCTGTAACCGACTGTCAGAGCCTGGGTGCCAGCCCAGCCCTTCTCGCATACTGAAGCTCAACAACTCGGACAGCCGGGGACGGAATCGAAACAGCCATAATGGGGCCATGGCCCCTGGGCATGTGCCAGAAAACCTTATGCCCTCCTCCCCCCGACGGCCTGCAGGGAGAAACGGAGCGAGGTGAGTCAGCAGCCTGGGAACAGAGCTTGGGGGCAGGGAGGAGACATGGGCAAACCGGCCTGGGGTAAGCGGTCTCTGGGGAGAGAAGAGCGTGGGTTTTACATGTGGCTGCCTGTGTTCTGGCACCAGCCGTTTCTGTTCCAGCCTGTGCTCAGGGGAATTTCAGGAAGTATTTCTAATCCTTTTCTTTCAGTGGTAGGAGTGAAGGTGGCAGGAACTCCCGGGTCACCCCCACAGCTGCCAGCTACCATAATCGAACTGCAAAGGTAAGCCGGGATCCAGCACATGATGCATACATAGCGATGACTTGTGGCCCAGAAGCGGGTGGGACTGGTGTGGCTGTTGAAGTCAGAAAGAGCTGGGGATCAGGCTGGTTCTGTCTGAAGGGCCCTGGACTGTCCTCTTGGCCTTTGATGAGGAGGTTTCTATAGAAGCTTGACATTTTCAGGGCTCATGGGAAGATGTACTGCTCTTGCACATTCTACATAAAATTGCTTTGCTTGTGTTCTGCTGTTCCACAGGCGAAAAGCCCCAAGCAGCAGGGAGCTGGGGATGCAGAGGAAGAGGAGTAGTGAATGGTGTCTCCGAGAACCCTCCCCTGGCTCCTGTCTTCTGTGCATAGCAGCACTTGCCGCCGTACAGGTCCTGCCTCTCCAGCTCTTTGGGCAGAGATTTTACGGATTTTAACTTTTTCTAGGTTATGGCCATTTTGTGTCTTTTGAGATTGTGCTGTGGGAGTTTGGGGGTCTGAGGGAGGGTCAGCGGGGAGGCTGTTGAAAATGTTTCAGCTTTAGCTGCCGCCTTTCGGCAGCAGTTATGTCCTCTCCGCCTGCCAGGGTCCATCTTTTGACATTCTGTCACCACTGCTTCTTGGTGCTGTGAGGCCCTGGTGGGAGGTAGCAGGGGTTCTTCTCTGTGGGGGCTGAAATGTGGGGGCTTTGGAGTAACTTCTCACCTATACTTCCCCTTCCCACTCTAGAATTTTGACCTCTGGTACGTGGGGAGGAGCTCTGGCAGTGTTCAGGCCATTTGCAGTATGTAAGTTAGAAACCAGGCTTTTGGAGATGAGTTGAACTAGAGGTGAATGGACCAGGGGCTTTGTTTGAAGCTGCTTCCTTGGCATTTGGCATCGCTGCCTTGGGTTCCTGGTGGGGAGCACAGCTCCTGTCTTCACTGTCCCCTAGTGGTGAAGGCTGGGCGCTCCCTGTCCCCGTCTGGGCCGTGCTGGGTTCTGCCCTGAGCAGGACTGAGGCCTCAGCCCCATGGCTTGCCCTGAAAACCAAGTGTCAGAGCCCCACACCCTCTTTTTATTTCACTATTATTAATGTCCTTGTAATAAAGTTTGTACGTGGAGTTCAGCTGAGCCTCATGATTCCTTCTCCTGTGTGCTCTGTGGAAACTTCCAGGAGGCCATAGTGGGTGGGATCAGCCCTGGGCGTTGGTGAGCAGGAATGGTCTTTCTAGGGGTTTCCTATAACTAGCAGATCCAGCATAAGCTGCTTCTTCAGGGCCACCAGACATTCAAGGTGAAGTGTCTCTTCTCTCAAATGGGACTTTTGAGGAGACTGCCAGGTTTGCAGCAGCTCTGGTGATGATTTGGGGAGGGGAGCTCCTGCCAACTGAAGAGAGAAAAGCAAATTCCTCAAAAGTCTCAGTCCTGAGAGTAGCTGAGTTCTCCATTACCTCTCAGCACATCAGAGCTTATCAAGACCATCTAGCACCTGAGGTCATTTTGAGCTTCCCAGCAGCCTTGGTGGGGGGTGGGGAGGGCAGGAAGAATTCTCCCGTTTCACAGCTGGAACATGAGGCCCAGGGAACCTCAGTGACTTGCCTGAGGCCGTGGAGCTCATTCGTGGCAGAGCGAGCATCACATCCAGCTCTGAAAATGGTTTCACTGAGTGAAAGAAGCCCCCCCCCCCCAAAGAAAAGTGCACACTGTGCGATTACACTTTATTACAATTATACTTACAATAAAACAAAGTCACCAGGAGTTGATTAGTTCAGACAGACCCTTATGTGTCAGGTGAAAGGTGCCAGGAGGAGTGAGACTTGCCTGCAGCTGGCACCATCGCAGTCCCAGGGGACTGCAGAGGTGGGAGGAGGGCTCCAGGGCAGCATGAATTGGCCTGTTCCCAGTGGGCAGAGAATAGTTCTGTTGTCGCCTAACTTTGTCTTCTGGGCGGGAGAGGGACCTGAGTAAAAGTAAAACCTTGGTTTCCCCCCTCCTTTTGCTTTAGATTAGACACTGAGTGTATCTTGTGATTTTGATTTGCATTTCCCTGATGACTGATCATGAGCATCTTTTCATGTGCTTATCGACCATTTGTAGATTATCTTCCTTGGAGAAAAACTATTTAGATGCTTTCCTCATTTTTTAATTGTGTTATTGGTCTTTTTAATTACCGAGTTGTTAGAGTTCTTTATATATTCTAAACACAAGTCCTTTATTAAATACATGATTTGTAAATATTTTCTCCTGTGAGTTGTTTTTGTACTTTCTTGATGGTGTCCGTTGAAGCACAACAACAGTTTCGAATTTTGATGAAGTCCAGTTTATCTATTTTTTCTTTTATTGCTTGTGCTTTTGGTGTCATATCTGAGAATCCATTGCTAAATCTAAGGTCATGAAGACTTAGCCCTTTGTTTCCTCTAGGAGTTTTATAGTTTCAGCTCTTACATTTAGGCCTTGATCCATTTTGAGTTAAACTTTGTACACAATGTGAAGTAAGGTCCAGTGTCGTTTTTTTGCATGTGGAAATCCAGTTGTCCCAGCACCATTTGTTGAAAAGACTATTTTTTCCCCACTGAGTAGTCTTGGCATCTTTGTTGAAAATCAGTTGGCCATAAATGTATGGGTTCATTTCTTGACTGTCGTTACTCTTGCATTGTTTACTCTGTGTTTCTCCTCATGCCAGAACCACAGGGTCTTGATTACCATTGCTTTGTACTAAGTTTTGAAATCAGAAGGTGTGAGTCCTTCAGCTTTGTACTTCTTTTTCAAGATTGGCTATCGTGGGTCCCTTGTAATTCCATATGAATTTGAGGATAAGCTTTTCCATTCCTACAAAGAAGTCAGCCGGGATTCTGATAGGGATTGTGTTGAATCTGTATTATCATTTTAGGGAGTATTGCCATCTTAATGTTAAGTCTTCCAATCCATGAACATGAGATGTTTTTCCATTGATTTAGATCTTTAATGTCTTTCAACAATATTTTGTAGTTTTAGGAATACAAATTTCACACTTTTTTGTTAAATTTATTCCTGGGTGTTTTATTCTTTTAGATGCCATTGTGAATGGAATTGTTTCTTATTTTTAGATTGTCCATTGCAAATGTATAGAAATACAGTTAGTTTTTGAATATTGATTCTGTATCTTGCAACCTTGCTGGATTTATTACTTCTAACAGTTTTTTAGTAGATTCCTTAGGATTTTCTATATACAAGGTCTAATTGCTTTGTACATGAACTTCCAATCCATGTTTTTCCCTGGTACATGGGGCCTCCAATTCCTTCCCTTTATCCCTTTACAGTTTTTTTCAGGGGAAAATAAGTTGCTTCCCATTACGATATGCTCTTGCTGAGTCATTTCTTAGTCCTCCATCAGCCGTCCTGTTTCAGACTGTGGACTGGAGTGATAGAGCTCTCTCGGTTTCATAAGGTTGCAGTATGTGCCTTGACTCTTTCCTGATTTCCTTGGTTTGGTGCACTTTTAAGAAACCATCCATCCAGTCTGATACCCCTACAGAAAGGTGCACATGAATGTACAGAGCTCAGTGTGAACACACACCGGTGGCACCACCACCCCAGTCAGGAACAGGACATTACTAAGACACTTGACACCCCACCCTGCACACTCCCTCTGAGCCACTCCCTCTCCCTGAACACTATCTTGACATTTTATCACCATCAGTTGTTGAATATTATTTAAATGAAATTACACCACTAAGCACTCTTATGTCTGGCTTATTTTGCTGGTCCTCGTATTTAGGACTCACCCACATTGTTGCCTGCTGCGGTAGTTGGCTCATTTTCCTTCCTGTGTAGTAGTCCATTGTGTGTCATAATTTATTGAGTCTACTGTTGATGGCCCTTCAACGTGTTTACAGTTTGGGCTATTACTAATAGTGCTGCTATGAACATTCTTGTACATGTCTTTCGGTGAACATGTGTATGTATTTCTGTTGGGTTTACACCCAGGAGTGGAGTTTCTGGGCCACGGGGTGTGTGGAGGAGACAGCATCAGGCAGTTTTCCAAAGTCGGCACAGTTGACATTCCCCACAAGCAGCGCAGGAGGATGTCCCGCATCTTCCCTAGCCGTGGTGCGGACTTTCTAGCTCTCCTGGTTGGTGTGTACCGTATCATTGTGACTGTGATTTGCACTTCCTTGATGACTAATGAGGATGAGTATCTTTTCATTACTGCCCGGGTATACTTTTTGAATGTAGTTGTTTTATTTTAAGAGGCAGTCCCAGGAGAAGGCCTCGGCAGTGGAGAGCAAGAGCACCCTTGCTGTGGTTGACCGGGCAGAGCGCTTAGATGTCTGTCTGTTCCCCAGCTTCTCAGGTCTAACCAGCAGGCTTCTCTTTGCTGTGAGTGGCTGCTTTTGCTCCCTGTTTCCAGCACCCTGAAGCCACAGAGAGAAGGAAGGAAAGTTGTCCTTCATCTGAGAGGATCCTTGCTTTCCCTAAATAAAGACATAACTGGGACATTCCACTAAAAGTTAGCATTTATTAAGTACAAGAACAGCAGAGTCAGGATAATGAGAATTATGTGGGTTGGGGTGTAGACGTCCATGGAGCAGTGTTGTGTTGTTTGCCGTCAGTTTGATTCTGACTCATAGTGACCCTAAAGGATAGAGTAGAACTGCCTCATAGGGTTTCTAAGGCTGTAATCTTTACGGGAGCAGATCGCCAGGATTTTTCTCCCGCTGAGCCGCTGGTGAGTTCAAACCTCTGACTTTTCGGTTAGCAGCTGAGCACTTAACCATTGCTCCACCAGGGCTCCTTCCATGGAGCAGCGGAGGTGACAAGTCGGACAAGGAGACACGAGTTGGATTCTCCTGAATAAACACAGGGCCCCTTGCGGGTGGGAAGCAGCTGTGCAAGAAACACTAATCTTGGAAAGCAAGACTGAGCCAAGTCTTTGTACCCTACCTGCATTTCCCTTTTGCACAGAGTAGTTTTAAATCCACCGCCTGCTCCCAAGGAGGTACTGGCCTAAGAGTGGCCCAGAGTCCCCCAGTGTAGCAGTCCACTTGAGGAAAAGCCCTTCACTGGTGCCAGAGCACAGACCAGCTGCCAGCACACAGATGGGCAGGGCATGCCAGCTGAGGTTTAGCTGTGACCTTTTGACCCTGGGCTTTCTTCCCTTCAATCCTCCTTTCTCAATGAAAGGCACAGCCTTAAGAGGTAAGCATGATGGAGTTAGAATCACATCAAGTGCAAAGAGACCATAGTAATTAGAAACACTTTTAATTCCCAGCCACTTGGAGGCACTTAAGTATCAGAGCCATCCAAGATGTCAGCCTTTGAACTTGCTCAGCAAGAGTAGATGATCACACAACTCTGGAGGTAATTCAAAATTAGATGAAGGTTATTTATTGGTGCGACTGTTTTCCTGTAGTGAGCTTCCTTTACACAGCAATGGTGTAAATAGCATCAGATTGAATGAGAATTTGTTAAATGCAACCATAAATAATTATAATAAATATACATCAAGTAACTTTACAGCACACGTGTTTTAGGGCCAAGGTTGGGCTCTGTCTGGAGCTCAGTGTGCTCTCTGGGAGAAGCAGTCATGTTAGCAGCACATACCTTACTCACAGTTGTCACCTAATCGAGTGATGGGCCAACAGGAGCTTCCCAAACCCCTCTTGGGGAGGTAGCTGACAGATTTCCACGTCCGTTCAAGGGATGGGAAGGACTGGAGGCTACCAAGAATTTGAAGATAAAGGGAGGAAAAGCCACTTCTAATAAACCCAAAGGCTCTTTCAATTATGCAGAAATTAAATAAAAGGATCCTTGTTGTCAGGAACACATCCTGATGTCCCCCCACTGCCACCCCGTCAAGGGGGCTGTGGCCCTGGGAGGCGGCCGGCTGCCCACCTTCCTTCCAAAGCAGGGGAACTGTTTCTAGCACTCACCTCCAGAGACGACTCCTGCATCAAAATGGAACTGATGCAACAGCACCGACTCAGCCTAGACTGACCTCTTTCTTAGGTCGGGGGAGCTTTTCTACCATGGTCCTTAATGCATTTCCTAAGAAGGACAGGGAGGGATGGGTGCTCCCGACAGGCCAGGGCCACACATCTCCCCCTCCCCAGCAGTCACTCCAGAGCCTCCTAGAGAGCACGCACTCAGAGCTTCCACTATTCACAATATCATACAATAAATACAGCAATGCCGTTCGGTGTGACTGGCGAGACCCAAAATAACAGTGTCCGACAAGATGGCATGTGCTGCTCTTGAACAAGTACCACTGGACAAGACTGATTTGGGGCACAAATGCACTGGGCAATGGGTGAGCCTGAGGCAGCTCAGCCCTGGCACGCACACTGACATGGGGCAGGGTGGGGCTGCGGCTGGGTCAGGGAGGCTGGGCAGAGCCCCCTGTACCTGCGGGCCCGGCCAGAGGGGCAGAAGACCCCCCTGGAGTCTCCATCTGGACTTGAAGGTCTGAGCAGAGCAACTCAGACAGTTGGCTCTTAAAAATGGGGTGTGGCCCTTTCCCTGTTCCCCACGGCACAGACACTGCAGTGAGGCAGGTCCCGTTTCTAGTACAAAAGTGAGACAGGCCTGAATCCTGTGCTTTCCTGCTCTGAGTGTGAGAAAAAAGCCCCACTTGAGTGTTGTCCCTCCAACCCCCTGGGAGTCTGGGCTTCTACCTCAACCCCTGGAGCTGGGGTGCATGCAGCCGGCTTCACGAACAACCAAGGTCCCCAAACAAACCCTCTGGCCTTCTGCTCCCAGGGAGCACTCAGTGGAAACCTTCAGACCAGGGGCCAGAGCAACAGAGCAGACAGGACTGTGGGTGGGAGGCTGGTGGGGGGCGCTGTGGGTTTCTTCTCAGAACAATGAAGACCAGAATAACGTTCTCAAGCAGGAAGATTGAACACATAAAGCCCCATGCGTGTGTCTCACGTGACTGCGTGACTGGCACAACCATCTCTAGACAGAAGGAAAAGCCTGTGGAGCCAGCTTCACGGAGAAACTCCAGCTTGAGGCGGGCGGGCCGGCCACGGCCTTGCTTGTGGAGAGGCTCTGCAGAGAGCATGGTGCTCTGGCTGGCTGAGGTCACCTCACCACCAGCCTCCTGCCTGGTGGTTCTGTGATGAACCAACTGGGCCCTGATGACATGAGAACGCAGTGGCCAAGAGGGACCGTCCAGGAAGGTCAAATTAGACACAAACTGGGAGCTAAACTATCCTACAAATATACCACAAACAGGCAGCAAAAGAACCAACCCATCAC